TCCCTGCCATGCAAGTCACCTATTTGATTTCCAGGACAGAGAGGGAATTAAAACAGTGATGTGTGGCCTTTTCTATAAGAACCTTTCTTTTGTTTTGCAGAGAGTCACAGATTTTGTGACAGAGTTCAGGATGCATATACGCTGCGCTGTTGCCCTCAGGTAAAATGAGTTTCCCACTCGGGGGATAGGCTAGTGGCAGTGAAATCCCAATCCCAGTGTAATGTCAGTTAAGTGTTGGTGGTCTCCTTTAAAATAATGCAATTACATTATTTCCCACTCAGCTCAAAATAGGGCTTAAGTGAGACATAAGTAATTCCTGGATCTTGTACACAGGAGTGATTTTTAACTTTCAATGAACTCAATTCCTATTAACACAAGCAAAACTATTGAAATTGGTGGGAGCTTTGCATGTGTAAAAACTAAAGAACTGGGGTTTCCTAAGTTTAGTTATAATTCCTTAATAATACCTAATATACATTGACCAATTAGCTAAGCTTTGAGTACTTTCTTGATCAGATAGAGGTTGTACCTGTGGCTGAAGGACAAGGGGATGCCAACCCAAACACACACAGAATTATAGATTTATGTTGTCATCATCATATTATAATGTCATAATAATAGTAAGTCAAATCTTTAATGAGTACAGTATATCTAGCATTCCACAATAGCAATTTTCCTGGTTATCACATCAAATCAAAGTCTGTATCCCTGTGTGAGTGCCAAGTCTGGGAGTGGGGTCAAGGCAGAAGCGTGTGCTCAGAAAGTAGAATTGGATGGATCTGTGTCTTGAACTACAAATAGACACGACCTGTGACTAATTGCTATTGTTTCTTTTAGGTTCACGGTGTGGCGAATGACACGATAGCTTTTGTAAAGGACATAATCACAACTGAAATTAACAGTGCAACAGACAATCCTGTATCTTTTTGATGATTCAGTTTCTCAGTAAAATTTTGTTTGGTTACTTTTTCCCGTCTAAATAATTATTAGCTAATGAAGCAGAAATTATGGCCCTGATCTATCAAATCACTTACATATGTGCTTAGTCAGTGGACTGCTCTTGCTTAAAGTAAGCACACATTTAAGTGCTTTTCTGGATCAAGGCCTACATGGTTATAAGAGCAGCTGGGAACTTTGGCAGCCAATTGGACTTGAAGGTCAACAGTGACTTGTCAGTTGACCCAAGGTTGGCTCAAGGTTGGTAAAACTTGCATTCTAGAATGCACTTTGAGTTCTACAAAGGGTAACTCCAAGAGCTATGCACCACTTTTAAGAGCTGTGTGAGCTCATTTCGGGAAGCTCTGTGCATGCGCCTTGTATTGGTGCTCTGAACAAGGGTGAATTCCACTCTTTAAGAATAAAGGAATGTACAAAAGATGCTCCTTTGTGTTAGCTGATAGTAATGATGAGTGCCCATCTTGCTCACTATATATAAAATTTCACCTCCATTGGCGAGAGCACCACTGGCAATTGAAAATTACACTAGAAACTGTGCTCAAGTGCGGCTTTGAATTCCTTATAGCCTTCACCTGCTGACCATCCAGCCTATTTAATAAAATACACTATTCATCTGTATCTGTATGGTGGGAGAACTGGGCATTGTTTTACATTTTTCTGACAACTGAACATGCGGAAGTGTGAACTACACTATATATGCATATGCATTTGCACATCAATTCTTCCTCCTTTCAGATAGGATATTCTGGTTATCTAGAGATGTGTGGTACATCAGCCGTTCTTCATTCATGTTCACACCTTAACTTGTCTTTAAAGATTGTTTTTGCTGAAAGGGGAGAGACCATTTCTGGAGGAAATTTTCATGGTGAATACCCTGCAAAGGTAATTAAGCATTTGGAGAAATATTAGTTTATTTTCTGAAATTTAAAAAAAAATCAGCTGATTCCATCAAGAGCCTCTCTTCCAGGCTCTGGACTACCTGGCAATTGGTGTCCATGAACTTGCTGCAATTAGTGAAAGAAGGATTGAAAGACTATGCAACCCATCTCTCAGTGAGCTGCCTGCATTTCTAGTCACCGAAGGGGGTCTGAATTCTGGTTTCATGATTGCGCACTGCACAGCAGCGGCCCTGGGTGAGTACACAAAGACCTAAGCAAGACTGGCAAGAGAACAAAATTAGAAAGATCAACCTACGTTAGCACTATGATAGTTTGATAGTACTGATAAAGGAAAACCAGCTCTCAGCTCCAGCTGTAAATTCTTCTTTTCTCCCCATGTCCAGCTGAGTTATCTGATATAGTTTGCAGCCCTGTCTCCCAGGGCCGCTCAGAGGATTCAGGGGCTCTGGGGTCTTCAGCGGTGGGTCCCGGGGCGGAAGGACCCCCCGCCACTGAATTGCTGCGGAAGACCCGGAGCGGAAGAAGCTCCGGGGGCCCAGGCCCTGCGAGAGTTTTCCAGGGCCCCCAGAGCGAATGAAGGGCCCCACTTGCCCCCCCTCTGGGCGGCCCTGCCGTCTCCCCTTCAGAGGCCCTGAACCTGCAAAGATTTATGTATGTGTTTAGCTCTAAACCTGTGAGCAGTCCAGCTAGGGTTGCTAACAGTCCCTTATTATATGGGACGTCCCTTATTTTTTCATCTCTGTACAACAAGATCAGGCATTGCTGAGTGCCGCAAAAAGCAGCAAGAAATGCCCCATGTGAATTTAGGTGAGTAATGTTCATTTATTTTATTTATTTATTAATGATAAAAATGATAATATTGGGGAGTGGGGTGAGTCGGGGGTGCTAAGAAAACAATCCCTTATTTTTGAAATACAATGTTGGCAACAGTAGGATTACTCAAGTGCTTAAATCTTTGTAGGACTGGAGTCTGAGTTTCGGAATGGTTAAGCGCCACAGTCCCACTTGAAATCAGTAGGGGCTAGAAGTACCCAGCACCTCTGAAAATCAGGCCCTAAAAGCACAACAAAGCTAAAAAGCAAATTATCTATGTACAAACAATTCTATTTTTGATTCTACACAAAACGTATCATTTCTATCTGTAGACCTCCCCTTCTGGGACACCCCAATCCCCAAGGGTGGTGTGGAGCCCCTTAATCTTTCCTTCTCAGGGACACAGCAATAGGCCCTGGGTGCTTAGCGCATGGTGTCTCCAGCTAGTGGTTGGGTGCATAAACCAGTAACAAGCCCTATGAGCCCCAGGCTATTACAATTCACGGGTACAGTAAATCAAACCCAACACAGCCATCTTATTCACAGAAGGGATGGGGGTAAATTAAAAGAGGGGAAGAGAACAGGCAAAGGAATCAATGACGTTAAATAAATGAGGCCTCAACCAATCCCACAACAACGATCCTGGTGCAGGGGAGGCCTATGGGCTCAGCTGGCTTTCATTTCTCAGGGGTGCAGCAGAATCTCAGGACTCATCATTGTTGTGGAGCTGGGGGCTCCGGAGCAGGCTCAGTCCTTCTCATGGGGAAAATCAAAATGGCTGCCTGTCTCCCCTTTTACTGCACAGAGCAAATCTGAGGCTGTTTCTCTACCAGCCTGACTCCCTGCAGCCAGCTCTCCCCCAGGTCACAGGTCCCTGCCAAGCTCTGCTCACATGACTCAGCCCATGTGCAAGCTTTCCCAGGGTCTGCTCTTGGTATCTCGGGCATGTCAGTCAGACTCTGGCCCATCCTCCACAGGCTGTCTCTCCCCTTCTCCCACCCAGGACAGGCACTCTCCATTGGAGTTCCAGTCTGTGCTGTGGTATGTGGGAGCTGTTGGGAGCTGTTTCTCTGAAGTCCCCAGCCTAGCAAGGTGGCTACACTCTTCCCTGTCTACACACTTTGATGGCCTCATCAAGTTTAAAACAAACCATATGCAAACATACAAAATACAGAAAATACTCTTCTGGGCTATGTAATCTCAGAGCTACATAACCCCTGATTCATACAGAGGTGCATACATGAGACTGTGCTTCTGGGACATTCCAAATGTTACACGCCGTATGCCCTGTCCCAGAAGTCATACCAACAAAGCCTTCTTGGGGTGCTATCCATTTATGTACCACATCTGTAGAGACTCTCAGTGAATCACAGGATAACTTTATGGTGGGCTTAACCTGTGTAGGCTCAGGTAGGGTGTGACCATCATGTCATGTTCTCCACCTTCAAAGCCAGAGTCATTGATTTCTTCTTGACCATGAACGGCCTGGAAATTCTCTTCTCCACTGTAGGGTGACCTGATGGGTAGATAAGACATGACATCATGAACTGGTGAAGCATACCATGGTTCTGGGATATTAACCTGATTGTTTGCACTCCAGTGTGAACCAATCTGTTCGTAGACTCAAACTTTAAGGTCAAAAGGGACCATCGTGATCATCTAGTTTGACCTCTTGCACACTGCAGGCCACAGAATCTCACCCACCCACTCCTGTAATAGACCCCTAACCTCTGGATGAGTTACTGACATCCTCAAATCATGGTTTAAAGACTTCTGTGACTTCTTCTCTCCAGGATCCTGTTTCCAAAGTGTGGCCAGTTTACATTTTGGGGAGGCACTCCTGGCTCACACAGATGTGCCTACATGTATGAAACCAGATGATCTACAAAATATTTCCCCCCTATTTCCATCTTAACCAGATCATTAAAAATTTGTGTAGTATCCTTCCATATTAGATTTTAAGCTCCTTTATGACAGGACCCTGCCCTGTACATGATTGAACAGAAGGCCATAGATATCTCGGGTGCAACATGAATGTCAAAAAAGAAAAACCTAACAGAATAATGTGTGTCTAACTGCTTCAACAATGGCCAAACACAATGAGAACTACTGAGGAAGATAG